TCATAATGAAATGAGTCCAATTTTTGTCTGCTTTTGGTAACGGTTTGAGTCCCATATTAAAGAATTAGTTTTTGTTGCTTCTTGAAAATTTAAAATTTGGAAAAAGTATATATATATGTTTTGAGCTTACACCTAGCAACCATCCTGGCCTGGTATTAATTGGACACTGACATGTACCTTTCTCTGAGTACATTTTCTTAACATTACCTCAAACCACTTCTGTGAAAAAATCATAGATAACAAGATAATTAATGTTTTCTGTTGGAAGCATATGCTTTTCCCAAGGTCATAGGCATCTTGTGCAATGATCTGATGGCACAGAATTATTACTGGGATCTCTGCAAGCAAATCTTGTAGAGTGTTTAAAAGAGAGGTAAGATATTCTATTCAGTCCAAGAGACATCCTTTTTACTTTTATATGTGTTGGGAAACAGAAGGATAAGTATGGATGCAGTAGGGAAATGAAAGTTTGAGAACTTATAAGTTCTTGTTATTTTTACAACTTGCTCTTCTCTCATTGGTTAAGCATACTTAGAATCAATTTTGAAACTTATTTTGTGGAGTTTTGCTACATAATTTCAAAAAGTCCTAAAATTCTGTATCTTGAATTTTCCCTTTATAGTTTGAATTTTGATGATATCCCCTCCCTTCTCCAAGGCCTCCATGAGGGAACCCAATTCTATTAAAAGATTTTTAACTGAGAAGTGAAAGTCATCGGGAATGAGGACAGTTTGTACACTCCCTTGCCTTCCCCACTCCGGTGACAAGCATCATCATCAACTCCATCTGAAAGGGAAGGAGGAATTGAAGGTTTCAAGAGTTTCAGGGGAAGCTACCAACTGGTTATTCATGCTACTTAAACAAATTCAATTCTGAAGATTCCAATCTTATCCTATAGATGTCCTACTTTTCACATAGTATAGCCAGCAGGACTTAAAGTGTAACTGACATTGTAATTTGCAACCCAGCAGGATCAACAGATCAATGTTTGATTTTGGTTGTCAGGTATCTCAATTTTGCAGCTTAATAGATAAGATATTCTTTATCACTGTTATAGAAAGTTTTTTGGTTTCTGCTACTGCCTTGAGCAGCTATTTGAACTTTAATTTATTTTAAAGTTACCTGAGACTGCACCTACTTTACAATTCTTGATTTTCTCCTTTGTTCACACTGTTGAATGACAGTGGTGATGCAGTTCTCCAAACCTTAGCTCTCAATGAGGTTATTCTAGATGATCACCAGATAAGTAAAATTTCTCTGGCTTCCTTAGAACAAAGCTTCTTATATTTCAATAAGGAATATTAATAGGAACAAGACCATCCAATTAAATCAGTTGAAGATTATACACGTTTTCCTAAGAATCTTTTCCCTAGAATGTAGTTCAATAATGTGGATGGTAAAGTAGTTGTCATGGAGCCAGGAGAACAGATTTCAAAAGTTTTGTTGTTGTTGTTTGGCTAATGTTGGGATCCTAAGTCTTAGGAATTAGAAATTCCTCCAAAATTAAAAGGTGGTTGGGATGTTGGGGGCGGGGGGGAAGAAGTATTATGTACACATAATCATTTCCTGTTGACTGACAATGTTTTTATTACCCAACACCTGCTTTCATTTCCTATTATCTTCTAACCCTCATTATAATGTATATTTAATTGCAGATTGCCTGGCACATTCCCAGTACTCACCAAGAGTTGATAGGTAAATCTATATTAATACATTGTTTATTTTAATAACATTTTGAAATGAAAGTGATGAGGCTGGACTAAATTATCTGCTTTATACTAGATCACAGAGGTTAAAAAGATAATTTCCTGGGCATCAAGACCATTTTTATTTCCATAACACAAAGCTTAACAATTTATGTAGATAAGCAGAATGATAAAACTAACTGAAGACAGAGAAAACAGCAAAAATATGTACGCACATTAAAAACAAAAATCAAAGAAAGTTTTCAACTTCCATGGTTTTAAGTGTATTTACTAAAGATGTTGAAAAATTTATTCTGTTACCAAGTAGCTTGATAAAATTTAAGTGATTTCATATTTCTGAGAAAAATATAATAAAAATATGGTCACCTGTTATTAGACATATTAGATAAGTTTATTATGGTTCTTTAGAGTTTTATAAAAAAAAAAACTGTAATTCATAGAATACTAGTCCTGGGACTAGTTTCCAATCAATAAACAGCGTTGGAAAATTTCCAACCAATAAACAGCATTGGAAATTTGTTGATCATGTCATCATCCATCATGAAGGAAACAAAAATATATATCTTTATGTGCTTGAGATTATATATAGTATTTCTATATGAGTATATGAAGTGGTTAGACTACTTATGAAAACATTGTAAAAAAAGGAAAGTTTCAGAATATGTTATCATTCTTATATAAAAGTGAAAATAATAATTTAATCAAAACAACAAATAATTATCACATTGACATAAAAACTATTCTTTATACATCCCCAGTATCTTATATATGACCACTTGTGCTGAAAAGAATTATTTCTCACTATTTTAAAAACAAACGTGTATCTGCATTGTGTGTATATATGTGCATATATGTGTATATACATATAGATATATACATATATATGTTTGTTTATTCAATTATATATATTTTAATAAAGAGAGCTCATCAAGCCTTAAAGGTCACAGTTTTTTAAATATAATTTTAGTATCCTAATGGCATATTTTTTATTAATTTTCTCATTTAATATTGTATTTTAGTAGACTTACTGAGGTGTAATTGTCATAAAACACTGTACATATCGAATGCATGTTATTCCATGGATATGGTATTTTCATATATCCTTGAAACCATACCACAGTCAACATAATAAATATATCCCTCACCTGCAAAAGTTTCCTCCTACCCTTGCCCCGACTTTTGTAGCAGGAACACTTAACTTGAGATATATCCTCTTAAAAATTTTACAGTGTACAGTACAGTGCTGCTTACTACAGGCACTATATTATATAACAGACCTTAGGACTTACTTATCATGTAATTCTGAAGCATTATGCCCTTTGACCAACTCCCCATTCTGCCATCTCCCAGCCCCTAGTCTTTACCATATGCTCTCTGCTTCTAGGAATTCAAGGATTTTTAATGGATCATGCAGAGTTTATCTATTCATGACTGGATTAGTTCACTTAGCAAAATGTCCTCTAGGTTTTTTCATGCCATTTCAGAAGGATGTTCTTTTTAAAACTGAATAGCACTCCATTGCATGTATGCACTACATTTTACTTAATCAATTGTCTATTGAAGCGCATTTCTGTTTACCTGTAACAGTGTACCAATTGACCAACCTCTCCCTATTTTTCAGGCTTTCTTCCTCTCTATAGCCTCTGGTAACTACTATTTGATGAGATAAGCTTTTTTGGATTCCATGTGTGAATGAGATCATGTGGTATTTGTCAATCTGTGACACAGTGCCTGCAGATTCATAGTGCTGCCACAATTGAAAGGATCACATACTTTTTAAATGTCTGAATAGTATTCCATAGTTCATAGGTATCACTTTCATCCATTCATCAATTGATGAACATTTTCCATTTCTCGACTACTGTGAGAAGTTCCTTAATAAACACGGAAATGCAGATAGCTCTTCAACATACTTATTTCCTTTGGACATATATTCAGTAGTTCTAGTTTCTGAATTATAAAGAAGTATTATTTCTATTTTTTTTAGGAAACATCATAGTATTTTTTCATAATGGCCTCATTAATTTACATTCCATTAATAATGTTCAAGGGTTCTATTTCCTTCACATCTTCACCAGCTCTTGCTATCTTTTGTTATTTTAATGGATGTTGGTAGAAAATCATTACTCCTTTTATTATTTTAACATTATAATACAAACGAAGTTAAAAAATAATATTAAAATAATAAAAAGCAAAAACAAATTACTTCAGAGGAACTCCAAGAAATGAAAGAAATCTTAAAAGTAAGCATGAATCAAACTAAACTTATTGATTATATCCTGCAGTTAATAATTCAAGTATTTCAACCAGCAAATGACATACACACATATAGAAGCATTACTTGTAATGCTGAAAGATTATTCATGCAAGTTGTTTTCAAGTGATTGCAAATATATTAAATAAAATACATTCAGCAGTTTCTAATGTAGTATTAGAAAGCTTTTGGCTATATAAGACTACAGATTTCTATTTCATATATGACTTTAGTGTCATATATGTATAAACAGAATGAATAAAAATATTTTTCTATAGAAGGAAGTAATATTTATTTCCTGATATATGCTTGTATATGTTTAAATAGGAAAATGAGAAAAATAGATAAAATTAACATTATGATCATTAAAATTGATTGTTTTTTTAAAGTTCTACAATACTCAGAAATATGCATTTAGAAAAATTGATCATTCATTTAGTGGTTTAAACCACTAAAAACATCTTAATGAAATGTACATATATTCATTTAGGATGTTAAAATAAAAATAAGTGCAAACAATAAATAAATAAACTTTTAGTCAAAAGATGAAAATTTTTTTAAATGCATATTTTCAATTTTGTAGACATAGGACATAGACAAATTGCTTTTGGATCACTCAATATGTTTTTTCTATATTTGTTTGTTGTTTTTGGCTGTGCTTTTGATTGAAACCAGGACACTGAAGTATATCTCAACCCCTTAATATATACAAGAAATATATTTTTGAAATAAAAAAATCTATTAGAAATAATTGTGAGTCAACAAAGTTATGATAATGAAGTACAAAAAAATCTAATGTAAGCAAGTAATTATAACTAAGTAAAAATAAATGAATTAGTAAAAAGTCCAACATTAAGAAAAGTCTTTGAGCATAGTTAAGAAAATAGAGGAAAAAAAATAGAAAGACATTAATATTTGAACATGTTAGAAATAATAAGATTAATGTAACAAAACTAACTAGGAAACAGAGATTAAGAAATGTAATTTGAGGCCTGTGGGTGAGGCAGGTCAGGACCAGGAGTCTCTTAGCTCCTCAAGAAATGTCTTCGCTTTCAGAATATGCTTTGCACATGACTCTGAGTGCCCGGCTCTTGGGTGAAGTTTCCAGGCCAACTGATTCCAAATCCATGAAAATAGTGAAACTATTCAGTGAGCAGCCATTGGCCAAGAGGAAGGAGACATATGACTGGTACCCAAATCACAACACATATTTTGCCCTCATGGGCAGACTGCGTTTTCTTGGCCTGTACAGAGATAAGCATCAGGATTTTAAGGATGAGCAAAAGTGTCTAAAGAAGCTTCTTGGAAAGGGGAAACCAAATAAAGGAGAAGGGAAAAGAGCAACAAAAAAGAAGTAGTGTCGGCTCATCAAGAGAGAAAATTTCTTCCTCAGTGATTATGAGAAGAAAGTACCATCTTTCCATGTATTAGAGGAATGTAATCTGCCTCAGTGAAGGTTACTTGGAGAAACACAATCCTCCCTGTATTGAAGTCTAATTCAATTAAATGGTGACTGGTTGCCAAGTGTGGTGGTGCATATATCTGTAATCCCCGTAATTTGGGAAGCTGAGGCAAAAGGATTGCAAATTCCAGGCCAGCCTCAGCCACTGAGCAAGACACTGTCTCAAATTTTTAAAATATGAACAAAAATAAAGGGATGTAATTCAGTGGTAAAGTACCTCTTGGTTCAGTCCCAAGTACCAAATAAAATAAAATTGTGACTGGTAAAAAAAAAAAAAGGGAATCTGAAGATTTCAATATAATTATTTTTTTGGTAGAATATAAGTAAGCAATATGTCTACAAAAGAAGAATCATAATTTCAATAATGAACATAAAATACATATACATATTTGAGATTTTAAAATATACCTATCAACCTTTTAAAAATCAGTAGTTTAACAAGTTGATCATACAATTAAATTGTATTTATTTCCATGTCCTGGTTTCAATCATAATAGAAATCCATCATGCATATTTTAGTGTAAGAACTATAAATAAAATGAGTATTTAATCTAGTTGCCACTTAAAAAAGTATATAATTGATTTCTAGCATACACTGTTCCACAGTTTGGAAATATTCTAAATGTTTAAGTGAGATACTTAAAATAGCCACATATACATTTACCAATTATTATATTTTATATATAAAAATTCAAAACAATTAAGATGATACATAATAATATTTGAACTAACAGTGAGAAATCTTATGCTCACAATTTTGAAAATACTTTTTCAATTAAGTTAGTTTTCATACAATAATCTATGATATCTTTAAAATTACAATTGTCAAAACATAGGGAAATTTTAATTTTTTAGAAATAATTATACATTGATCAAAAACAATAAATCTGAATTACTTGGAGAAATTTGGATGATGCATGTATTATTAAGAAAGCTTATTCTGACGTACATGAACTTTTTTCTAGTATTACAATAATAAATGTAGTGCGGCACTAAAATAGGCTAAAGTATAACAAGAAAATTCTAGATACAAACAAAAATTTGCAAACAAACTATAAATACTATGTATATTTAAGATTAAAGTGTGAATTAAGTGAAACGTAATGCCGGATTCAAGGAAAAGTAGCAAATTTTATTTCCATTTGGGGGGAAAAAAAGGCATTCAAATGTCTACTTATTTATGCAATGCCATTGGAAAAAAACACACTTGTTACACTGCCAGATAAAGAAACCAAAATGTATTATGTTTTTTCATGACTCACATGTTTTTATTATATATCAATAAAATTAGTTTTCCATTAATGTGCCCCACAGATAATATTGGTTCTGGTCAGTGAGCCAAAAAATTAACAAGCCACATATTATCCAATTAATTCAAACATTTTCTTAATCAAAAATTATTCTGATTTTTTATTCATTCTTTAGAAAAACATGCAATTTGTTTAATTTAGGACCCCAGCCCCCATTGCCTGTAACTCCAAAAGTACTTACCACTTTAGATAACCCTAACTTGGACCAATAGTGCCAGAACAAACAAGGAGCCTCAGAAAGTCACATCTAATATTAACTTGTGTGTTATAAAAATTAATATTGAGTAAGACCTCACAGGCTACCTTATTCTGGAAGAGCTAAAATATTCATTGATTTAAAAATAATTTTAAACATTCAAATACTTAATTAAATTGACAATTACAATTTAATTTGATTAATGTAGAGTGAGAACAGTCCTCCCCCGTTTTTCTAATTTTCTATTTAAGTGCATCTTAATCTTGAAGTAAATAGATTTTAAAGTAAAAAAGGTTAAAAAAAAAAGAAAGAAAAGCAAGCACATAAAAATTATGCTCATTGATCAAAGACTTTATGTTAAAATGGATTATTCTAGTACTTTAGAATGACAAATAACTGACATTCAATAAAAATATTCCATTTATTGAACACAATGCTACCAAATTTATAGTCATTATCCCACTTGATCAAAATTATCCTTTTATAAATACTGTTCTATTAAAAAAAACTGAACTGCAATTCTTTTGGTTTTAACTTAAAAATACAATGGAAATCTTCAAATTAATCCATGTAATAATACTCTTCTATTTGCTTTCCTGTACCTTTTGTTTTATCTTTTCCCACATAACAGCCCAAGTCACCTTACAGTTTAGCTGTGCATTTGATAAACATCAGAAACTCTTATATCAATAGTAATTCAGTTCAATAAAACTTATTGTTCACATCACATGAAAAGGTGTTTTCCTCCTTAAAAATCTTAATATGTGTTGTGGAATCCTTGCTTATTTGATTATCAGTTAAATTTATTCTTCTTTTATGATAATTTGGAATTAAATATTGCAAAAGTGTACCAGAAAATAGCTATAGGTTAAAGTGAAAGGTATACTTTTTGAAATAATTATATTTGACTAACAGAAATAATTAGCTGTCTAAGGACATTTATGTAAGCTTTTCAGATCTGCTCTTTTGGACAATGCATATAAAGAAAAGCCTCTGTAGTTGCGATAAAATAGAGACTATGAATTCTTTTCTTCATTTTCATGATCATATTAATCATGTCTAGCAATCCAATCCAACACTGAACATTATCATCACTATGCTGGGGAGAGCACAAAAGGAGCAACAGAACAATCACACTAAAATGCATCATGCAATTTCTCTCTTAATTCTATTTAATCTTTTGTTTGGTAGTCTGTTTCTGAAAATTGAATTAAGGTATGCTAAAGTTCATGACGTATTAGCATCATTAGTCTGTTAACATTGTCATTTTAATTTCATTTGTAATTTTTTCTTTTAATTGTGTCACTACTCACACTCCTCAGAGAAACAAATTTCATCTGTCTTTAAATGTATGCTTACTTTTGAAATGCGTAATATTATTACTATGAGTTGCCTTTTTTTATATTTTTATAATGGTTTTGGTCTTTTGCTTTGTTTCCTACTTTAAAATCTATCAATCATTGTATTTTAACTGCCAAAGGTATTTGTTTTGTATCCACCATATTTTATTTAAAATATTTATTTATTTATTTTTGTTGTAGTTGGACACAATACCTTAATTTCACTTGTTTATTTTTATGTGGTGCTGAGGATCGAACCCAGGGTCTACACGTGCGAGGCCTCTACGGCTAAGCCACAGCCCCTGCCCAGATTCTACCACATTTTTAATCCACTTGTCTGATGAGGAGGAGGAGAAGGAGGAAGAAGGAGAGGTGGTGTTCTGCCCCTGACCAGCTCAGGCAGCTAAACTAAAGGTCACTCCAGTGAATTTCTTAAGGTATCAAATATAACACAGATGCATAATTTACCTTTAATTTAAGCCCCAGGATGGCTCCTCTGCCCTTGGCCTTAAGCTCCCCAAATGGGAGAGAGAGGAATCTCAGGAGAGGCTGGAGAGAGAGAGAAAGAGGGAGAGAGAGAGAGAGGAGAGGGGGGGGGGGGAGAGAGAGAGAGAGAGAGAGAGAGAGAGAGAGAGAGAGAGAATTTGCGTGCACACTGGAAAACTTGGGAGTGGTCTTTTATTGGGGGGACTCTCATTCTTTAGAAATTTCCATCCAATAAAGGTCAAGAGGGGTGGGGTTACAGGGACAGGTAAGGTAACTGGACCCCTGGGGCTGGAGGAAGGCATGCCTATGCACAAAGACATGTTTTGCGACATTTTTATAACTTCTAAGATGGGGCCGCCATTAAGGGCTACTTAATGTGGCCAGATCACCGGAAGTGACCTACAGGGCCTCAACCAATCAAAGAAGGAAGATGCTGGTCACATGGCATGGCCGCCTCCCACAGAGGTGGAAAAGTAGGATAAGGATTTGGTGGTGGGGATTGAATCCAGGGCCTGAATCCTGCTAGGTAAGCACTCCCCCAGTTACATCCCTATCCCTTTTTATTTTTTATTCTGAGGCAGTGTCTCACTAAATGACCAAGGCTCACCTCAATCTTGTGACCTTTATGCCTCAGGTTCTGTCTGGAGTCCCTAAGATTACAGGTGTACATCGCCATTCCTGGCCCACTTCTGTAATTATAGACATCTAGTTTTTTTCAAATGTCACCTAACACAAAACTGCATCCAAATAAATGTTTTGTCCATAGATCTTTAAGATGTGCGGGTTATCTATCCAGAGCACATAATCAGAATTCCTGGGTCCTGGGCTTGTATTTATATTCCATTATAGGCACTGCATGCAGTTTCCCCACTTTCTCAAAACAGAACCTAACATTTGTCTTATTACCTGCTCTACAGTTTTCTATCTGATAGCAATACTGTTGTCCAACAAATATTAAAAGGTTCAAATATTTAAGAGGTTCAAAATTGCTATCCATACCTTACAATCAAAAGGAGGCCAGCACACAAAGCTATTCATGGGGAACACATGGATCATTGGAGGAAAGAGAGCTTAGGAGAAAATCTATTAAATGGTGGTATACTCTTAGCATAATTTATTAATTATAATACATATTCTATAGAAAATATGAGAATTACATAGATTAAACAAATCATATTGTATATCATGTGAGGATTTTTTTCTTTAATGGAGTAATGGAATTTTTCCATAGCATGAAAAAAAACAATGCCATCTTGTAATTAATTATGAAAGAAAGGGGAGATTAATCTAAGAACATAGTATCAGTTGATTTATTGTGTTAAATGTTGATTTATATTTGAAAACAGAACCTAATAGTCTTTAATGCAAACTAAATTTATTTTAACTTATATATAAATATTGTACATTTTAATGGCCTACACTATTATGTTTCACTACATGTGTGCAAAGTAAAATCAGGTTAAACATATCTATCTCTTCAGATGTTTATCATTATTTTTTGAGGAAAGCAAATTCCATTTTTATATCTTTTTTTTGAGATATGAAGTACATAATTGCTACCTAT